GTAAGCCTCAAAGTCATCAAAGCTCTGGCTCTGACTAGGATTGAACATTGACGGTCCATCTAACTGGTTAGAGACTGGAATCTGCTGATAAATAAGTTAGAAGTCTACATCAAAAGTCTAAAAACGCAATGAAGTTTCACATATTCATCATATGTTAAACAGAGAATCAAATAACTAAACGGTGTCATATGAATCATTGGATACCAAATTGGTCACATAAAAAATCAAAACTTCTTTTTACTAAAAATAGTCTGATGAACTAATAGTGCAAAGGAGTCCACTCTACCTAAAACACACCAGCATTTAATCATAATACAAAACACCTACCTCAGGAAGAAGCTCAGTATCAAAAGAATGCAGATCTAAGAGACCAGGACTAAACTCAGATTCATCATTGTTCCTTCTTTGACTCGTTGGACGAGAACCGTATTGAGGAGTTGTTGGTTCTCCAAAGAACTCGTTCCCTCTCTGAGCATTCTGGTATCCTCTTGCTCCTCCACCACCAGCATAGTATCCATAATCCTGTGTGTAGTCACTCACACCGTTAATTTCAAAACTTAATTAACATTAAACACACAAAACAGATCGAGAATTTACATCTAAAAGATCAAGAAACCTTGTGGGCTAATAGATCTTTTTAGAAAACGATAGAAAGTTCAAAACTTTACATTGGGGGAAGGCTGAAAGTGAGGGAGGCCAGTGGATTGGAGCCATCTGCCATTGGACATGTCGAGGAGGTTGTCGGAGAGCTGTCTCTGGTGGTGAACCGCCGCTGCGCCAGATCTCTGTCTCCCGTTCATCTCAGTTCCTTGTCTCTTAGCTCGAATCGGAGATCCTTTGATCGGATCTCTGAAACCAAAGTTTGGTCTTTTATCTCTGTCTGTGTCTCGACAAGGATGAAGTTCAAATTAAAGAGTAGAGGAGCATTGGTCGTTGTTTCTCTCTCTCTGTCTCTATTTCAAACGCTCCCTTAAACTCGGTTTCTATGTTATTTCGATTTCTTATATAATAATTAAAATGAGATTTGTGGACCAGTTCATATGGTTTACATAAGAGATATTTTGGATTACATTATATTTACTTTGGATTACATTACATAATCGTTTTACTATCGATAGTTGGTCTTATTAATTCTGTTTATTTTTTTAGGATTGTGTCAACTTTATTACTAGTGCGTTGGTATTTTAATCCAAAGTGGTATGAATCATGATTTAGATTTCACCAAGTTGATCTATAACATATCCCTAATCGGAATCATACAAACTAAATCAATTGGTTTGGTATGAAATACTCTACTAGTTAACATTGAATCTGTAATATGAATTGGCAACTAATTTGAATTGAACTTTTACACCCAAAAAATAAACTAAGAAACTAAATTTGTTTTGTTTCAAAAAATAAAATAACAAACTAATTTTCTTCAAAAAAAAACTAATTTGAATTGGCAACTAATTTATATTTTCATACATTCAGCGAAGGTGAATGATAATTGGTTTATCAATTTTTTTTTTTTAAAAAAGGTTTATCAAAGTTTGCATAAATGAAATTCACCTATGTCGGTATTTATTTATATTAATTCCTCCTTTAAAAAATTTAGAGTTACATAATTCGCGACTAAAATTTAATTTTATTTCATATTTTCTTGCCTTGAATTTTGTTTTATCGAGTGTTATATTAGAATATAAAGGTTTTAAGAAAATATTAAAACACTTTTCATATGGTAGTTGTGTAGCAGAGAGAGAGAGTAAGACTGAAGGAATGAGTAAATTCACGTTTCTCGATCATTACTGATTTGTCTGAAAACCGTAAAATTAAATAAAAAGGAAAACAACAACTTCAAAACACGTGAGTAGTAGTACTAAACGACGCCGTCTGGATCGTGACAAACACATGGTGGCCCACGAAGTTAGACAGTTGTTGTTGGACAAAATTCGCGCTCCTTTCATTTTGTAAATGTTCGTGCTGAGTTCTTTGTATCCGGTCCCATGTCATAAAATATCTTTGGACGGAAGCGTAAATCCCACAACATAACGCCACGTGTATCCTTCTCATCGAACGGCTATAAATAAAAAACCACCAAAAAGTCATCATCTTGGGTCTCTTATTAGCTTCATGGAGGCCCACTAAGTTTCCCTTCCTCGTCAATACGACTTCGTTTTCTAAACAACACTCTGACTTAACTCTTCTCCCTCCCGACCTAAACTTCGAACAGTGTAGGAACCTTCCAGACAAAACCACACTCTTCTTGTCCCTCCTCTATATCTATTCCACAGTTTGTCATCTCTCAAACCAACAATGGCTGACCACGACCAAGGCGCGGTGACTCTCTACAGCGGCACCGCCATCACCGACGCCGCAAAGAAAAACCACCCCTTCTCCGTCAAAGTCGGCTTAGCTCAAGTCCTCCGCGGCGGCGCAATCGTCGAAGTCACCTCCGTAAACCAAGCCAAGATCGCCGAGTCCGCCGGCGCATGCGCCGTCCTCATCTCGGATCCGCCACGATCCTCCTCCGCCGCCGCCGGAGTACAACGCATGCCGGATCCAACCCTCGTCAAAGAAGTGAAACGCGCCGTCTCCGTCCCCGTGATGGCACGCGCGCGCGTCGGCCACTTCGTCGAAGCTCAGATCCTGGAGTCTCTCGCCGTTGACTACATCGACGAGAGCGAGATCATATCCGTGGCCGACGAAGATAACTTCATCAACAAGCATAACTTCCGATCTCCGTTTATCTGCGGGTGTCGGGGCACAGGGGAGGCCCTGAGGAGGATCAGAGAAGGAGCCGCGATGATTAGGATCCAAGGAGATGTTAACGGGACGGGGAACGTTGCGGAGACGGTTAGGAACGTGAGGAGAGTGATGGGTGACGTTAGGGTTTTGAATAACATGGATGACGATGAGGTTTTCGCGTTTGCGAAGAAGTTGTCTGCGCCGTACGATCTCGTGGCGCAGACGAAGCAGATGGGGAGGGTTCCCGTTGTGCAGTTCGCGTCTGGTGGGGTCGTGACTCCTGCTGACGCGGCGTTGATGATGCAGTTGGGGTGTGATGGGGTTTTTGTGGGGTGTGAGGTTTTTGATGGGGTGGATCCGTTTAAGAAGGTGAGGAGTATTGTTCAGGCGGTTCAGCATTATAATGATCCTCATGTGTTGGCTGAGATGAGTTCTGGGTTGGAGAGTGCTATGGAGAGTTTGAGTGTGAGTGGTGTCAGGATTCAAGGAAGTGTTTGATTAATGCTTTGAGTTGAAAAAGTTGTCATGTTTTATGTTTTGTCTCCATATATGGTTTGTGTTTTTTTGTGTTAAAGCTGGTGCAAAATGATGTTATATTTTGTTTAATCCTTACAACAAGATTACATAGAGACTATTATTATAGTTTGACAAGTGCCAAAACATTTTTGGTAAAAAAAAGTTGCATGTTCACTCCACCACATACAGAAACATGGAAGTAAAATGTCTCAAGTAGCATATCAAATTTTTTTTTTCTGTTCATTAGTTTCACCTTGCTTCCATCACTGTGATGGTAACTCTATTATCCGATCCATTTCCTGGCTCCTGTAGCTCAATCTCCATCTCCGGGGAGCTTCTCCGGGGACCATCATAGAAAGCTGGCTCTTTAGGTGAAGAAAGAGCATTGTTGCCGTATATCATGGACACAACATCTAACATACTTGGTCTATCCTCTGCGCTTTCTTGTACACACAAGAGAGCAACCTGAACGCATCTCAACACTTGAGGGTTGTCAAGTGCAGAATCTCCCAAAGACTGATCTATCACCTCGCGGATTCTGTTCTCTTTAAACAGGTTCCACGCCTGAAAAGAAAAAAAACAGAGTTTCAGTAAGGTTCAAAGACGCTAACACAATGAAACAAGAAGGAAAAAGTTTAGCTATTACATGAACTATGAGATTCAGAGGCCCTTCTGAGTCATGGTGGAAGCTATTGTTCTTCCTTCCACAAATGATTTCGAGCATCAGAACCCCAAAGCTGAACACATCTGACTTAGCCGAGAATAGTCCTTCTCTGAAGTACTCTGGAGACATATAGCCACTATACATGTATATATTAACAACCAGAAATTCAAGTAATGTATATACATAGAATCTTCTCCTTGTATCTAGAGTCACTCTTTTACTTACAATGTGCCAGCAACTCTTCTGGTGTTGGCTCTGGATTCTTGTGCTCCAAATATCCTAGCCATACCAAAATCAGATATTTTGGGATTCATATCCTCGTCCAATAAAATGTTGCTGGCTTTGATGTCTCTGTGTATCACTTTCAGTCTAGAGTATTTGTGAAGGTACAACAGCCCTTGAATTATCCCTTCCATGATCCTGAACCTCAGGGTCCAATCTAGAACATTTTTCCTCAAAGGGTCTACATAGAGTCCAATGTAATGTTTTGAACAAACAATTAAGCACATGACTGAAGTCAAATAAGTGTCTTAGGGTATATGATTGAATAGTTTAGAAGCCTCAAACCTGATATTCTGGTTTCTTTTAATAAAACTTTCTTATCTACTAAAAGTGGCATTTTACTGGTGCTATGATATTTAAGTCATTTTAGAAATCAACATGTAATAAAACTCACCAAATAGGAAGTAGTCAAGGCTCTTGTTGGGCATGTATTCATATATCAACATTTTCTCATCCTTCTCAACGCAGCAACCTATCAACTTCACAAGATTTGTGTGTTGAAGTTTTGCAATAAGCATAGCTTCGTTCTTGAACTCCACTAGTCCTTGCCCTGATGCAATAGATAGTCTCTTGATAGCCACTTCTTCCCAATGTATTAACCTCCCCTTCAAGAAAGTAGCCAAAACATCAAAATCTAAGTTGATATTAGAACCTAAAAAACATGTAGTACCTTATATACAGGACCAAAACCTCCTTCACCGAGCTTGTTTGCATCTGAGAAGTAATCTGTTGCCAAGGCTACACTTTCAAAGCTAAAAATCTGAAGCTCGTTATCATTCTTCCTTGCACTTCTCCTGTGCCTGCCTCTCCTATCAATTCCCAATTCACGTAGTAGCATTTCTTGGTCTATTGCTGAACTAACCCTCATTGCTTGAAGCCTACTCCGTATGTAACCAGTGACTAAACAAAACAACAAGAGTCTCAGTTTTCACAAGAACAGACCTGCTTATACAAAAGTTCATCAGCTAAAAGCATTACTTTGTGGAATGACTTTTCTCCATAAGAAGTTGAACATTCGGCGAAATAAGACAGTTACTGGATCAAACAAAGAAAGAAACAAAAATTGATGTTAGTAATAACAAATTAATAACAAAGTGTTGGTTGGAGTGATATTACTACAAAAATTCTCACATTTAATTTTATATTTCCTCAAAACAAGATAGATGATAAACCAAACCACAGATATCATTAGGAACACTGATACCACAACAACTAGCCAAGTTGCCGCCTTTTCGATCTCTTGGACTCTCTCAACCCGTGGCAGAGCTAGAAAAATATGTCAAAGGGGTCAATTCATAATTAACATATATCATAAAGGTAAATTAAGTAAAATTTACATTATTTTCCCAGTTTTTCAAAGAAATTACATGTAAGAAAAAATATTCATAAATTCACATGGGTCAACTAACCCACATGCTAACAAGGTGGCTCTGCCACTGCTCTCAACTCATGTATTCAAGAAAACTTATTGTGACGATCTGTCCATTGGAAGCCCACAGCTCATCGATCCTAACCCCTCCTATAGAGTTAGTGGAAACTCATAAAGGAGGGGTTAGGTCGATACGCTGCAGCGCTGTGAGCTTCCACAGGATGGTCACACTTATAGTGTCCAACAGATTTGCTGCATCTACTTTTGAAACTTATATAAAGTGTAGATTGTTTACCTGTTACACGAATATGTATAGTTATTGGACTATGAGAAGACGTCATGTTGCCAGTAAGATCAATGGTAGGGTCAGTATTCCAGATTTGGCAGCCCGTACCATCCATACTGGTTGAAGCATAAGCAATACAAGAACAGTTTTGGAGACATTTAACATAGCAATCGTATGAACTTAACTTCCCACCAGTCTCATTAAGTACAAATCCACTGCCTGATATAGAAGATACTGCATCTCTGAATGTATAACCATAGCTGGAACAAGAGTAACTAGACGACGATATTTCACAGTCCCAGAACTTGGGTTCAGGCTCTCGGAATACGTAACTAGCACGCAAACAAACGCTGGAATGTTTCCGGGAACAACCAACTTCAAGATCTTCACCAAGAACAAAGGGAGAGCACTTGACATGATCTAATCTTCCATTAATCCACTTAAACTGCAAAGTTCCCTTTTCATTTATCACTAACCGAGGAAATGTAGTTCCATCATACCTCTCATTAGCTGAATACATAAAATATTCTTCAATCTCTGTGGAAACAAAGGAGAAGAAGAAACCATTCTCGTTTTGTTTCTCCAAGGAGAATCGACCCTTAAACCATAGCCCACTTCCCCAGTACATGTCTCCACGCCACAAGATGGTCAAACGGTTTGTAATATTAGCATCCATCCCAAACACAAAAGATCCAGAAGCAGGTAGGTCATCACCTAGCCATGATGTTAGCTCCCATCTCTTCCCAGTCTTTACGTTGAAACCTATTTTCATCCCGGGAAGAAGTGTATCCGTTGGATAATCAAAACTTTGCCACAAAATCTGCTTCAACGATCCATCTGAAGCCATCTCTTGGAGCTGGAGGTTACCTGAGTCCAACAGCTTCAGGGTTGTGTTTCCTGTGGTTTCTGTAGAGCTTAGATCAAGCAGGCTTGATGCTCCTGTTAAGATCTTTAATCTTCCGAGTGAGTCAACTGTGAGTCTTCCAGAGCGTCCTGGGATTGGATTGTCACGGTTGGCTATCCAGACAGGTTTGTCCTGGTTAGAATCATAGTTGCTGTTGTCATTAAGATACAAACTGTCGTAAAAGATTCCAAGATAATAGTTTCTTGAATTCTTGATGTTGAAAAACTTGAGCCTGAAGATATTGAAAGCTGAAACGAGCTCTTGCCCATCTTTCAAGTACTGTCTTTGAAGCAGAGTATCTGTTTCACTGCATGCTTGTCCTAACAATAGAGATAGAGTAAAGAAAGTGAAAAATATGCTATTTGACCACCACATAGTTTTGCAGGAACTTGAAACTTGTGAGACGGATAATTTGGTAATAGATATCTCAAAAAATTGGTATCTAAATATGCAATGTAAATTATTGATTGAGGTCAAAGTCTTAACTCACAAGTCCAAGTCCACGCTAGTGAAAGCCAAATTCGAAGTCCTTTTCGGCTGAATTATGCAACGCTAAAGATGTTATTACATGACTAATAAGCTATATAGTGGCTGTGCTAAGTCATAAATGAACGTGCGATTTGAGTTTGTGTCTTTCTTGCTCTAAATACATGTGAGTAAGCTGCACGTTGATCAAGCAGAAAATTAATCATAGTAACTTAGGTCTTGATGTAATTTGTTCCCTTTTTTTTTGTAATTTGATTCCCTTAGAGTACTGTTTTTCTTTGGATGATTTTTTTCAAGTTAACTTTTCAAACATCTATCTTGATAATTTACCTAATTATAATTGTTATATAGTTCTGTTTTTATTTTGATAGTACCTTCCCATATGCACAGTGTAAATTAATGATCACAAAGGCCAAAAGTCCATGCTGGTGGGATCCAAATCTGTAAATCGTCCATTAAAATATTCAAGCTATAGAATCACTAAAGGTAAACAACAATATTTTGTATGCCAACCTACACATCTGCTTAGTAATAATACCATGGTTAGCCATTAGATTCAAACATCTAATGATTATTACTTTATAAGAGAACTATTTTTATGCTATGCTTGTACTATTAGTAAAATATAATATGCTTCACACTCAAGTTGTAGTAACAACAATTTTATTTTTATTATCTAATGAAAAGTATTAATCAAATCATTCATCACTCCCTTAAGACCAGCATGCTCTGTTCCAACTAACACTTGGAAGATGGATAACTTGGCAACAAATATCTCACAAGTTGTTCTGGGAAGGTAGTTCCCATATTCACAATGTAAGCTAATGATCACAAAGGCCAACTCCATGCTGGTGGGATCCATATTTGTAAGTCATTATCCATTATAATATTCAAGTATACATAAATATTCTGCCAATTTACATACCATGGTTAGCCATTAGATGCAAACATCTAATGATTTTTTACTTTATATTACTACTCTATAAGAGAAATATTTTTATACTATGTTGTACTATTAGTAAAATATAATATGCTAAACACTGCAGCATTAGCAAGTTGTAGTAACAATAATAATATTTTTTATATGTTATAAAATATTTGACAAATCACTCATCACTTCCTTAAGACCAGATTAGATCCTTGACATCAAACATAACCACAAAAAAACTCAATCCCAGAAAACATCTGTGCTCCCAAATCTCCTCTCTGTTCTTCAAATTTTATTTAATGGATCTATGCGGTTCAGGGATCAACAAACAACATCAAATGTGTTCGAAAACTTTTGGTTATGAACGGATCAAAGATCTTTCTGAAAATGTTTTCAGGGTCAAGAAAATCTCAAGATGGAGATTGATGTGGAGAAAGATAATGGGGATGAAAAACAAGAAGAAAGATCAGGTTCTTGATCATTGTTTTAGATATGATCCTTTCACTTATTCACAAAACTTCGAGAACGATGGAACCATCCCATATCACGAAGATCCTGATGTTTCTTCTAAGTCCTTTTCAGCTCGGTTTGTTTCTTCTTCTAAAGTTTTCAATGTAAACTATGCTTGAGTTTCTTCATTGTTATCAATTTTGGTTTCAAGTGTTAATATTTTTTTAGCATAATGTTTGAGTAAGAGATTTGTTGAGTATAGCTTTTATCATTTGCTTATGTAAAAAGGTAAAGCAAAAAATCACAGCTAATCATGTGATTCATTAGTGGCTAATGCCACAAGAAAAGTCAATGAGTACGTGTAATCACGTGCTGCTAAGTCACTGCCAAGTTACAAAGATGAAAAATCTTGTACATGATTCACATTACAAACATCTCTATAGCCCTCTTTGGCACCCCTCTGTCCTAGCAATGAACTAGCTTTCATTTACCATACCAGCCTTCACATTCCTGACATTAGAGCGTTGTACACATCAGGACTGCTTCATTGGTTCTTCATCTCATTTGAAGAGATATAATGCTTCACTGAGCTTCCCACATTTCTCAAACTGTCTGATCATCATCACAGCGTATACTCTTGATCTTACATTCCCAAGACTTTCTTTTAGTTCCTTAAACAACTCATTGGCTGCTTCGCCTTTTTAAGAGCGTTAATGAGACTGCAATAAGCTGCAGGACAAGGTGGAAAGCGTTTCTCACCCATCTCTTCAAGCTGAAACAGAGCTTTCTCCACTCTATTGGTTTTACAGTAACCAGTTATCATAATCGATTAAGTGAACTCACTAGGGGAAACACCGTCTTCCTCCATCTTATCAAACCAAGAACCCACTTCAGAGAACGGTGCTTTCGACTCAAACAGAGCTTTTAATGACAGTAGGCCTGTTCGTTTTAAGAACGCAGAAACTGGTGTCAGCAGCAATAAATAAAACCCGACCCGATAGTACCAATTTTGGTAACGTCCATCCAGTGCCAAAGTCAGTGAATGGGTAAGTCACCAATCCCTAAAACGGACTATGCACTTTATCTGCTGGGTTACGGGGACATTTTACCAGAGATTTAGATTGTATCAATCTACCCTTGTGTGATTCTTGTTGAATCATATACTGCAGGGAGCTACAGCGGAAGTAATTCACAAATCACACGTGCGGCCGCGTCAGTCGCTAAGGATCGATTAGAGACAGAAAACCAGAGTTGCCGTTGTAGCTGTTATTTATTATTATTTTTTTCCGAATGAATGCTAAATTTATTCAATCAAAAACTTTTTAACATCGAGTGCATCAGTTTAATGAATCAAAGAATCAATCTAAGAAAAAAATAAATTTCCTAATCTTCTGGTTCCCTCCGGGTTCCAAACCATGCATATAACAAGTCCGTCTTCAAAATGGCCCCTCCCTTTTAATGAAAGCAACCAAAGTCTGACTGTTTTGTCTACAAACTTGATTAGACAATGAGCATCACGAGGTTGCTCTTCATAGCGTCTGGTATTTCGCTCCCTCCATAGTGAGTGCATGGTTACTTGGAATGTGTATCGGACCAGGAAGTTCTTTGTTGTAGTGAGTCTCGGGTTAGAGATGATCTCAATGACCTCACTCAATGCCGCTGTTATTTCTAGCCTCGCATCTTCCGGTTATTACTTGCTGTAGGCTGTAGTGACGGAAAGAAACGACTGTGATGTTTTCGCCGTGATCATAACTGTTATTTGAACCGCTGACGCTGAAGCTGGCGCTGAAGCTGGTGTTTATTAAGACATGAGATGAGATAGGGTCTCGGAGTGTTGAAGAAGACGCACGTGAGCATCACGAGTACACAATTAGATAGCAAAAATTCGAATCAAAGGATAACTGATCCGAAACGTAGCGAGAACCGAAAACGATGAATACTCATCTGAGTAGGCCTTGCACCAGAAGTAGGCCAGAGGTGTAAGCTGGGCCATATCTTTTCATGTTTAGGCCCAGGTTTTACTTTTGGTCGTTATAAATAGATGTATGTCGGGAGAGAAGGAAGAGTAGGGATTTGGAAAGTTTGACCCAACAGATTCGATTCTTGTTGAAACAATATAGCGGCAACGATGATAACCGATCTTCCAAGAGATATGGCAGAGGAGGTGCTCTCTAAGCTTCCTATGACATCTCTGAGAAGAGTTAGATTCACCTGCAAAAGGCTGAACAACACTTTATCAAAAAATCCAAGATTTACAAAAAAGTACAGAGGTGAAGCAGCAAAGAAAAAGGAGTTTCAGGTGGTGATGATGCTCGAATACAAGGTTTACTTGATGAGCGTCAATCTCCACAATCCATCTCCATATATAGATCCTATAGGTAAACTCGTTAGCCTAGACGACAATGCTGGTCATGATGGAGGAGTCGACATACTTAAAATCTTTCACTGCCGTGGTTTGTTGTTATGCGTTACCAAAGACAGAACTAGTCTTGTTGTTTGGAACCCTTTTAATGGACAAACAAGGTGGATCAAACCTAGAGATTCTTACCATAGCTGTGANCATATATAGATCCTATAGGTAAACTCGTTAGCCTAGACGACAATGCTGGTCATGATGGAGGAGTCGACATACTTAAAATCTTTCACTGCCGTGGTTTGTTGTTATGCGTTACCAAAGACAGAACTAGTCTTGTTGTTTGGAACCCTTTTAATGGACAAACAAGGTGGATCAAACCTAGAGATTCTTACCATAGCTGTGATAGGTACGCTCTAGGATACGAGAATACGACCAAGTATTTGCAACGTAGACACAAAGTGTTGAGATTTGTGGATGATTACGACCACAGGTTAAACCGCCGAGTATGTGAGTTTGAAATCTTTAGTTTAAACTCTAGTTCTTGGAAGGTTGTTGATTTCAATCCAGACTGGGATGTACAGTGTTTTTACCGTGGCTTGTCTCTCAAGGGTAATACTTACTGGTTTGCTGAAGAGAAGCTTGATGGCAAAATAGGAAGACTTTTTTTACTGTGTTTTGATTTTACAACAGAGAGATTTGGACCGCGTCTGCGTCTGCCTTTTCGTGGTCGTTATGGAGATACAGTGTCTCTGTCTAGCGTTAGAGAAGAGCAGCTTGTTGTCTTGTTTCAGGATTCTGATGCACCTGCGTACACCTTGAAGATTTGGATTAGTAGAAAGGTTGGTCCTGATGCAGTGTCTTGGAACAAGGAGGTGTTCTTATCGGTTGATATGAAACCGTTAACCGGTTTTCAGTTTTTGAACTATGCTGGAAGTTTTTTCGTTGATGAGAAGAAGAAGGTCGTTGTGGTTATTGATATGACTAGAGGTTATCCAATGACTATTCGTAATATGGCTTACGTTATTGGCGAAAATGGATACTTCAAAACGGTGGATCTTGGAGATTTTGCAAACAGAAATTGCTGGCCACTTGTGTGCTCTTATGTTCCAAGCTCGGTGAAAATCAAGCAAGATGCACCAACAGGCAACCAGAGGAACACACCATCTTAAATCTTATTAACTTGTTTTTTGTTCTGTTTACTTCATTACTAGAGTGTTCTTGTCGGTCTTTCATTTACTAGCTTATAACAAATGTAAGAAGTTTCAATTCGTTATCATTGACCTTGGAGCTTCTCTTTTTGTTTTTGTTTCTTTTAAATTTCTGAGGTTGTGAATATTTCATATGCTGGATTTTGATAACTCTCCTATTTAAAGTTACGGATAATCTCAATATACAGCTAAAGAAACAGTTGAAAGATAGAGAAAGAGCATTGGTTACCAAGGAGAAAGATCTTGATGCAAGACTGCAACTTCATCAGAAAGAGTGGAACAAGGAACAAAAAAAGGCACAAGTGGAACAATCCTTATTGATCAACCAGTTGAATCCTGCAAAAGAAGTAGTGACAGGGTTAGACCGAGAGCTTAGCAGCGAGAAGAAACTATCTAAGGAGCTTAGAGCTCTGATAGTAAGTCTGCAAAGTAGTGTTTCAAAGGTTGGTGAAGAACAAATGGCACTTGAAACAGAGCTCAGGGAAAATCTTGATTTGATTGAGGGGATGCAAGATCGTATCAGCTTGCTTAGTTTGGAGCTGAAAGATAAAAAAGAAGAAGTTCAACGTATTACCACATCACTAGCTGAAAAAGAAGCAGAACTGAAGAAACTCAACTCTGCGTACACTCAAACTAGCCGAGATCTTGGTGAATCAATATTATAAATCAAGCAGGTTAAGGAAGAAGTCACAAGAACTCAGACTGAACTGGACTCAAAGAGTTTTACCGTTTAATGAATTAAACGCTAGAATAAACAATATAGAGGCTGAGGAAAAGAGTTACATCCAAAAGCTTGATGATGTTTCAAAATATTACAGTTATTTTCAGTTGACTTCTGAAACGCGAGAAGCTGCTGATGCGGAGGTCATTAGAATGAAAGAGGAGGAGACTCAGCACTTAAAAGAAAAGCTGGATCATGCGTTAAAGGATGTAGATGAGAGTAAAGATAAAGTCACTGAACTTACTGAGAAGTACATACGAAGACTCGAAGAGGATGTTGGATATAGAACTCACTAATGTACAAAACTTGAAACATGAACTTGAAGGAACAAAGAAAAGACTCCAAGCATCAAGAGATAATGTCCCTGACCTGGAAAAGCTGCTTGATGAGTCGAGAGCTTTGTGTTCAAAGTTTGAATCAGAGGTTTCTGTAATTAAGCTAAGGAAAGATATGAAGATGAACTTGCTGAAGAAAGACGAAACAATGAGGTTTTGGCTAGAGAACTTGAAGAGGAGAAAGATCTTCTGAAGAAACCTAGAGACGAGCTTGAGAGATTTAGTCACGAACTTGAAGAGTCTTCTGTCAAGAACCGGAGCCTCCAGGAGGAACTAGTTGAGATTTACAAGAAAGCTGAAATCACTAGCAAGGAACTGGAAGAGGAGAGAAAGACAGTTTTGGCATTGGAGAAAGAGGTGAAAACAATATAGCTTTGTGATAAGCCTAACAAAACAGAGGGAAGTGCTAAAAAATAAAGTGAAGAAGCTTGAGGAGGACTTGTGCTATGCAAAGGGAGAGATACTACGCATGAGGAGCCAACCAAAGTCTCTAAAAGATGTGAATAGTACAGGGTACCAAGAGAAGAGTGATGATAAGGTTACTGCAAAGAAAGTTTTCAGGAGGAGAAAGAGCAGAACTAGTTCTTGAAGAGACAAAGGTTACTATGACTAGAGATTCATCAATGATTATAGGAAATATAGAGTAATGCTTTGTATCATGTCTAAATTATGATTCTCATATAGATATGTTAAAGATGAAACTACATTTATTATTATCATACAATTAAAACCGAAACAGCTAGCACCAAAAATTGTTTCTCAAGAGGCTGCCTTGTCTTGTCTTCAGAAACAACCATCCATTAGAAGTTCAAAGTCTCTCAAATTCATAAGAGACTGCTTTATTTCATATCTGGCCATGAGCTTTCCATGTTGACGAGAGATCAGCCACAGCTTCACCAACTGTTAGATAAAGTCCACTCAGCCCCAATGACTCAATGATCTTGGACTTGTGTAGCTTCTCCATGACACTCCCCACAGGATTCACCAACACAAGCTATTTTCAACAAGTGAAAACATACAAATTAGCATGTTTTGCTCTCATAGGTATGAACTTTGTTTAGTGTTAGAGGTCTAACCTGAAGTGATTGCTTCTCCAGCCTCCTCCTAAGTTCAAACACAGCTTCAATCCCACTTGTGTCTATAGAAGACACAGCTGAAAAAAATTCCAAAAAAAAAATATAAGTAAAGAAGATGAGTCTTAAAATTCATGAACATGGCTCAGATAAGAACAGAAGTAGTTACCTGTCATGTCAAGAATGATGCATTTTAAAGTAGTACCACTGTTTTCTTTTATACGAGTTTCCTCTTCCCTGGTCCATCTCAAGATCCTACAGAACCATAAACTCACTTCCGTAAGAACAAAACACACACAGCCATATCAAGAAGAAAGTTATTTGACACTGACCTTTCTTGTAGATAAGTGCTATTGGCAAAGTATATTGGAGATTCAACAGCAAGAATCAAGAAACCAGGGATTCTTGAAGCTTCTCTGTATCTTTTAACACTCTGATATATCTGAGTCCCTTGGATATTTCCAAATTCTACAGTGTTTGGCCTTGTAACATGCAACAAGATCTTGAGAACTGAAACTCCCACCTGCAACAAAAAAAAAGGTAACAAAACTTAGATAACAAACATCTTTAGAATTAGTAAAACAGAACCATGAAGAATATTATAGTTGTATACTCACTGCTATTGCTAGGCCAAGAGGTACAGAGACGAGAAGAACACCAAAGAAAGAACACATGCAAGTGAAGAAATCGAATTTGTCAACTTTCCATAGCTTGTAAGCTGCTCGGTAATCAATGAGGCCTATCACCGCGGTTAAGATGATAGCAGCTAGGATCAAGTTAGGAGTGTAGTAGAATAGTGGCATCAGAAACAAAAGGGTCACAAGAACTGCTGAGGCCATCACAATGTTGGAAACTGCTGTTTTGGCTCCAGCATTGTAGTTTACAGCAGATCTAGAGAAAGACCCTGAATTAAGAAAAACAATAAAATTGCTGTTGTCAAAAAACATTGTTTCCTAAGGTGAATGAGATTGGTTTCAAGTTTAGTTTGTAACCTGTGGTGACATAGCAAGAGGTGCAAGAACCAGCCATGTTCATAAAACCTATAGCCACCATCTCTTTGTTCCCATTAACTTGATAGTTCTTTAGAGATGCAAAGGTTCTCCCTACAGCAATCCCTTCCTGAAAAAAAAATCAATCAAGTCCAAAATTTTAGCACTTAACTTTACAGTTTATAAAAGGAGCTAAAGAGTTTGGAAAGCTTACTGTAAGAGAGAGAATCCCTGTGATGATACCAGTCTTGATGGCAAGAGCAAGATGAGTACCACTAAAGTACAACATGTTTGATGAAGGTGGATTCAAACCCTTTGGTAGATGTCCAATCTGCATCAAAGATTTAATTATTTGAATTCTCAGTTCAGTTTTTGACTAGAAACACAAGTAAGTCTGGTTAAGATGTTCTTACAAATGAGATGGCATGAGTCTTGTTTCTGATGAGGAATACAAGAAGAGTTGAGATAACAACTGATACCAAAGGTGATGCAGCTGATATCCAGAAAAGTTTTGGCTTCCTCATGCTCTATATATATTCACAAAAAAAAAACATTAAATGTTAAAATATGTGATCATGGTATAATATCTATTTGAAAATGCCTGAAGTTTTGGCAAGTACTTACAATGTGTCTTGTGGTTAAGAGAATGGCCAAGAAGCCAAGACCCATCAGAATTGTTTCCCATGACCACTGAAAATTGTAGCAAGTAACACTATTAGATAACGATCTATATATGGTTGATTTACAATTTTATAAATAGGAAAGTAATGTTTGTCTTACTTCAGATCTGTGGCTGAAAACAGAGGACATGACAGGTATGAATTGCATTTTGCCAGTGAAATGAACAATTCCAAGAAGACCCTTAAGCTGTTGAAGTGACACAATCACTGCAGCACCAGCAGTGAAGCCAATCAAAGTTGCTTTTGACAAAAAGTCAATCACAAATCCCAGCCTGAAAAAATTACAAAAAAAAAAAAGATTATTAAATAATATGAAAATATAATATATTAATCCAAATTCGCTGACCGTTAAAATAAAATAAAACAGTGTAACACCACTAGAAGGAGGCATCTTGGGAGGTAGACTTTGGTACATGTCACTTATCACTATCAAATCATATTATATATAGAATCTTGGTCTTTTTCACATATAAAATGTTATTAATCTCTCTATTCATCATGACTAATGTCCCTTTCGTTTTCAATGATAGTTCAACAAAAGAGGCTCAAGTAACACTCTGAATATATTCTACACTAAGAATATTAAACTGCAACAAGAGGCTAAAACTACATATTCTTTCACATGACGATCCCATATTCCAAAGATTAGTTGCGTTTTCGATTAAAAAGAATATTAAACCTTTGAGAGTAAGATTATTACCTAAGAAGGCCAAGGGAGGCTTGGAAGAGACCAGCAAAAAAGGTTGATGTGAAAGCCAGCTTGAGATATAGAATTGAGTCTTGTGTTGGAGAAACACTTTCACTTAGCATTGAGCCCATAACAAGTGATGCTATTGAGACAGGACCAACTGCAAGATGTTTTGAACTCCCAAGAACTGAGTATATAAGTGGTGGCACAAAGCTTGAATCTGCATGCAACCACCAAACTGATTAGTTAAATACTGGTTTAGTTAATTACATTGATTAGTCATATTTGGTCATGATAGCTGATACTTACATAGACCAACTATGGGTGGTAAGTTTGCTAGCTTGGCATAACTTATTCCCTGCAATTTAAATTTCACGATTAGCAAACAAAGCTTGTAAGAAAAATAAAAAACAAAAAAACAAAGCTTGTAGAATAAACAATGATAAAAATAGCGTTTGGGATTTAGCACCCAATAACGTTTTTGGATAATTCTAAGCGATCCAGTATGAAATTAACGAATTAAAATAAATTAAAATATTTGTAAGAATAATTAAATATAAATTTATTGAAACATTGAATGATATTAAATAGACCAAAACAAAGACAAAGAAACAGAGTTTTTCGTTTGCTTTAAACTCTCTGAGTCCAACTAGTTATCCTCATACTACTACACGATTTAACAACAAAATCTCTTCAGTTACACCTTTTATTACCCTACCAACATATAAATAAATAAATAAATAAAATCTTCTTTTGGTCAAAATGACAAAGAATATGATAACATATTAGAAGAATTGCAAAACTATTTCTAAAACACAAAAAATCATTTCCATAATTTTTCTTTAAGAATGGTGAAAGCAGTTTCTATATAATCACATCAAAAGCAGATATAAAAAAAAAATCATATTCCTAACAAAAAAAACAAGATTTTAAAAGTTGCGTTACCTGAGGAATGGCGAGACTAGCAATGGTGAGACCAGAGACAACATCAGACCTAAGAAGCTTGAGATCATACTGAGAACCCCATGTGAATATAGGAAACAAGCTTTGAAGGCCAAGAATCACTTTGTTTCTCCATGTCTGGTTCCTAAACCTCTCTAACGGATCATCAGGGAAGAAAACATCACCAAAACGCTTCTTCAGTTTCTGAAACGTTGTTTTCTTCGGTGGAAGACAAACGCTATGTATCTCCACGATCGTTTCTCTCGCGTTTGCCGTTACAGGTGCAGTGTTTCCATTGTTGGGAGACGCCATGTCTTCTACTCTATTCGTACCATGACCCATTGGTTTACGAGAAGTAATGAAGGGTTTCTTGGAAAGATAAGAGGATGCAGAACTTAGTTTTCTTGTGGTTAATGTATTGTGGATTGTGTTTGTAGGATTTTTTTTGTGAGGAAAGATGGTGGGATTGTGCTCTGAATTTATAGACACTTGGCCCTGAAAGTGTAGTTGGTATTATGGGTAAATGTCAAGGAAAAAGTAGTTCCTCTTTAGTGTTTTGAGTTTCTAGGGGTAAATGCGTCATTTTATGTACATAAAGTGAAATAAAATCTTGGAGGAAATCATAGTCTCTGTAGAACAACATGGCATTGGCATATGATGATATTTTTTTTGTAAGTGAGGCATATGATATGAACAAGAAAGAATATGATGAAGACCGAAGAACAGAGGAATCAATGAGATATTATATTTTCATATATAACGTAAAGAAAAATGATGGAAATATTTTGAGGTGTTTTATTTGATAATACAGTTATAATATATATATTATTGACATTGATAATAGTAATAATCTTATACTCTTGTCATATTTCAAAAACATTCCTTATTTTTAAACAATATAGGAGTATTTCCAAATTTATCATATACCTTTAGATTTTTCAGCTTAATCAAAAGCGCTTTTTCTTGTAGTAAGTAAATACATATGTGTATGATGTCAACTTCTTTTGTAAAAAAGTTTTTGGCAAGTGTATGTATGCATGTCAAGTAAACACAGTAATCTATGGCAGTAAATGTATGCGTATTTTGGTCAGCTTATGTTTGTACATGCATACTCCTCGTTTTCAGCATTTTAGTATTTGATTTTTTTTATGAAAAAAGGGAATTACATAGTAACAGAATTTCTAAAGGGTTCTTATTTAATATTTCTCCATTGTATTTAAGAAAAACTCTGTTTAAAAATTCTTTATTTAGAAAAAGAAAAACGTATCAAAGTGTCTTTACAAAAATTCAGTTTCAAGTTAAAAATGGAAGTGTCGAAGTGGATAAATTCTGAACGTTGATTTATTTTGGGTGACGAGGACAGTTGAATTTGGGAAGACTGGTGGGGCATCCACTTTTAATGGCTCCAATTAAAGTCTCAAAGGAAAATAAAAACTTTTTTTGTGGTTAATAAATCAAACGTTACAAATGGTTACAAAGATTCCAAGTTGATTCAAAATTTATTTTATACCAGTTAAAGTATGTGTTCGACACCTGTAATTGTTGTTATAGGCACACCTAATTTATTCTTATCTTCATTAACAAAATCAGTTATCTAAGGATAAATGGGTTCCCATATATCTTTAAATAATAAATAACAAAACACAAATTCTATGGGATTTTATCTTTACCAAGAAAAATCTAATGTTTTGGTGTATAGCAATTCTTGAATTGGTCACTATCTATGTCTCTCTAACGATCATGATACTTAAGCAACCACTGAACAAAGCATTAACAATGGAGAACATTAATTACTTCTTAATGACCAGGGCTTTCCTGGTAATGCTCCTCGTTTACTAATCTGACGTGTCGGTGAAATAAAAAGGCAAGAACACAGGTGTAGAAATAGATTAGTAGAGAACACCTGATTAGAACTTTTGATCATAGATGGTTTACGATTCACATCTCTCTTTTTCTATGTTTTGGTAACACATAAGTTGTGATTTTTTTTTGTTTCTTAATGTTTCGAGAATGTGTCGAAATTTCATTATAAAAATAATAGTCTGAAAACTTGACCCGATCAAATAATGGCTGGGTTGCCCTTTTTCACCTATATTACTTTCTACTCAACATTGATCGCAACGTTTTCGTATATCAATCATTCCATTTAAAAAGCTTATGAGGAATTAGGTTTTAATAACTTTGCTAAAATGCTAGGTAACTTTCGTTCATGTTTTGTCTTCTTAATGCACGGGGTCATTTCAGTGTATCCGTCGTCTATGCAATAAAATCTCAAATATATCAAACGAATTTTTCGGAACAATTTGGACGAAGGTAAAACCGTGAATAATCTTTTTTAGATGATAAACAAGGTTGTTTAACAAGGTTTCATCGGAAATATAAAAGGAAAGGAGTAATATACTAAAATGGTTAAAATGATTAAACGATATAGAAAATGAAAATATCGTGTTGTGACAACTTTTTATCGTTTTCAAATTAGTAACAACTAAAGCAATAAACCTCGTACTACTTCTGCAACTTGGAGTTATCAAACAAACCCAATAATACTTGAATAATAGTTATATTTAATTCAGGACAACCAAATACAACTTGTATGAGCTAATCTTTAAGATAAATTAAGGAAAATTAGACTAGGTATATAAAATGATATTAATTGACTGACTACCAAAAATTAGGCCTGAACACGGATTGGATATCCGAGTTTCTGAAAGTATTTATGATTTACTTCGTATAACATGTATCTAATTTTTTTTCTTCTTTTTATGTAATACTTTTATATAAGTCGTTGAGAATGTTTTGTATAGAAAAATAAAGAAGGAAGCAGACTGATAATGTAAAAGGCTTTTTTTGATTTAATTTTATAATCAGTTCAGAAAAAAAAAATCTTTAAGATAAAACCAAGCCACTGTAGCTTGGTAGTAATAATTTGGAGATTGATGTGTATCTATGTTGGTCGTAAGTAGTTTCTGCTGGAAATTACATAATCATTTCAATTAATTTACGTTTGAAATCGTGGATCGTAACAGACGATCGATCTAATTTTAACACTAATCGGAAATGTATTCGAATGCGACTCATATAGTGTGATATCGATATGCTTTTGACCTAAACCATTTTATAGCTGCATCCATGTTTATCAAAGATGGCGACCGGATAAGGAAACCTGATTTTGTAATGTGTGGAAACGGGTTCGAGATCATGCATATTTTACAGAACCTTTTACTGCTACAATAATACTATTTTGCGGATACAAGTTAAAAACTAATCATGTAAATATCGGTCCAGAAAACTAATTTTATGACACAAGAATAAGAAATTCAAAGCAAATCTAACTTAGAACCGACGTCCATATAAAATATTATAATAGAAAGATATTTGCAATCCAAGAAAACGTATCTTTCTAAATACAATTTTGACTGGTATGATATGTTTGTCGCAGTTGTACATATAACACCATAAATAACTAGTTAGTGGCATCTATACTAGAAAATGAACCACTGCAAGAGTTCCACCTGTATGGTAAGATTCTTATGCCTATTATAATTTGCTAAAGCTTATATACGCTTTAATTATTATCAGTATCCCCCCCCTTCGTATCTCAATCCCTTTTATGTGATTTCTTACTTCTTTTTGGTCAAGAGAAATTTATTACATGAGATTCTATTCTGTTAATTTTAAACTATATTGATCAGTATCCATCGACATCGATTATGATCTTAGGCAATTTACGTAACATCACAGAACACCTCTGGCTGAGTATTACCCATCTCACGGATGGTTAGTTTACCTTCATAGTGCAATTATGTACACAATAAATGGCCTAGAGATAAAATTTACCGTAGCTAATACTGATTTACTATTTGGTTCTAGTCACAACAAACCTAACATGTTGTAATGATTTTCCATACTTGTTTATATCAAATTATAGTTGAATTTAGGGTAAAAAGGGAATCCACTACCTCTAACAAAGGCTTGACACGTTAAGATGTTAGAGCATGTTAACTATAAATTAGTAACGAGAAAATGAAAATTTTGAATAGACAACAGAAAAAGAATTAATGCTTATATTCTTGTATTGCAAAACGGTGCTTTAAATCTCCATCCTACAAATAATTAATCCTTCCCCAAATTTCTAATAAATGAGAAAAGAGATTCCCAAATGTTGTAAAAGAAGAGAATCCACAATATGTTGTAAAAAGAGATTCCACAAAATGTCAATATTTAAATTAAGGACGTATCCTAACGCTGAAATAAGTTATATCTTTCATGTCTTTTATTATGAGTTGTTTTTCTTTGATATATATAAATATATTTGAGTATTGATATATGTGCTCAACTAGTTTAGAAAAATATCTGATGATAACTAAATGATTTCTTAAGTAGCAATTTTTAATTATGTCTTCCTGGATTTCGATGCTTATAGCTTTGTAATACTGAATTTAGCTGACCACCAAAAACTTAAAATTAAACGAAATAAATATATTTATACTATGTATATTTGATTTAAGTAAAATACTATGTATATAGTTTACCCTAACAAAATATCTCACACCAGCAAAACACCACGTACATGCAAAAACAATCTAACTATATATGCACTCGTATCCATGCAAATATAATATGTATAAGCATGTTTGGGTTTCGTGATAAGCAAGCTCATGTCCACTCTTCGACTTAGAATCGTTCTAACTTCTAAGAAGTAGAAGTTAAATAAAAAGAAATAGAGATATCTTCAGAAATACACCTTCATAAAATTATAAACAAGAGGAAAGTGAAGTGGATTTTTATTTTTTTTGCTCATTACATATTATTCTGTTTTCCAATTTGATACTTCGATTATAAGAGTGTAAGGCTCCAAATGGTGACCAAAGGAATGAGTGAGAATAGTCAGTTTCTTACTATTTCTTATAATTTACATCATTTATAAAGAATATTTGTTACCTATGATTCCTTAACATTCCTTAAGATTTAAGGAATAAAAGAGTACAATTATTCTTTGTCAAATTAGAAGAGGAATAGGTTTTCCTTTTATTTTTTTCTTTTTCTTTTTATTTCTTTCTTTTTTATTTTTTATATTATTTTGATGATTACCGGTTAAAATCTAAGAGATATTCAAATATTGACTATAGAAGATATTTATGTAAACGCGAGTTTTCTTTTGAGAAAAAGACAAATTTATATATATGGAACCGTAAAATTTGAGGGTTCTAAACAAATATTTCATGACCAATCAAGGTCGGTCTGCATCTACTCAAACCATATTTGACTACTTGAATAAAATACTTAGCATTTCATGTTCTCTTGCAAGGGCAGACGCTAGTTAAACAAAAGTGTGACACGTGCTCTACTCGTTTTAATTTACAAGTAATGTATTCAAAATTTATTTATATATCCCTGGGCCGCCTCTGTTCTCTTGATCAATTTGTTTGTATAAAAGTCTAAAATA